CCCCCCAAATTTCACCTGCCCCCCCATGGTATGGTATACATTATGAACACAGCCTTAGGTTCATATTGATGTGAAGTGGTTGGAGAAACAGAGAGAAAACATAACCAAACACGACCGAATCTGGAGCAGAACTGGATTACTTGCGTAAAGCGCGCGCTACAAACGTGATCTCTCACGTAATTTGCCAAATATGGATGTAACGTAATCTTGACCTTGTCACAAGTATTTTCGTTTTTTCTTTGTCATTGAAAATGCCACATAGTCTGTCATGTTCAAAAACTAGCGAAGGTCTATGAGCAGATATTATAACGGAGACTTTATTGCTTGTCCAATCCATTGACTTCAATTTGATTAATCAATCATGTATTTTGTTAAACAAGTATGTACCATTAATCAGTGTTTTTATCAAAACCAAAATGAGTTTACCTAAGCGTTGCTTTTATACAAAAATGAGAGTGCGTCTTTCATTGGTATATAGATTCAAGCCGCAGTCTCACTTTTCATGTTGATAGATCCGAATAGATACAGCGGAAAATATATCATCTCCTTAATGCAAATGTGAGATGAACATTTACCGGTATGTCATGATGAAGATACTGAAAGAAGAAAATGAAAGCAGCAAGCATATCTCATGACCTATCACCAAAAATTGATTAATAAAATGTTACGTCGCAATTTACAAAGAATTCAGTTACCTGAGTAGTTTCCGCAGTATCGAAGATCACAGGCAGGAGTCTTTTTTAATTCATACACGTAAAAACTTCCACATCTTTGAACACGAATCGTGTTGCTCCACATACAAGTGTCGTTGCCCCAGTGATAACACACTCTGCGAGTCACGATCCCTTCARCTTGGCTTGGATGAGATCCCTGCATCCACCCTGGTGCACTACTTCCACAACTGTAAGTTGGCACAGCMGACGTTGCAATTTGAGACCCTGCCTGATCTTTGAATCGATACCATCCACTTGCAATGACTCCCGCTTTGTCGCACTTTATGACGTTTGTTCTCGGTGCAATATTTGAACGATCAGCTTCATTTAGCACTTTGTAGTGTTTACAGGCTGAAAATACTAACAACGCCCAAAATGAATTAGAAATGATGTGTGCCTGGGTGATGTCGATTCCCTTGGTGTATTAAAATCATTGATACTCGTTATTCAGTGTGATTTAAACCGCTTTGAGCAACTTGATCACCTACATCTAAATCATTGTCCACAATACTAATAGAATTAGAAAATATTCGATAACATTTCAGTTGATTGCATTTCTTTATATTTTAGACATATTGATTGCTTGATTTCTTTATAAAGTAATGTTTTTGATAGCTATGGATCGATGCATGACGGGCATGATGCTCTAGCATCTACAAGAAAAAAAGTTTCTCTAAATCAGACAGATTTTTTTTATATTGGCTTATCGGGTTCTCATCGGATTCGCTCAACTTATTTTAGTTTTTAATGTATATCGCTGCTTTAAAAATGAAAATTATGTGTGATGGTCTTGAATTGAAACAGTTGTAATTCGGAGCACTTTTTGTGGTTACTCACGTCTTTTTGGATGTGCCGTGCCCCCGTTTCCMCTATTTGTAAAATTATAGGAGTATACACCCTTTTAATAAGTCACGAGGTTTTGTGTTCTCCGCACTTGACGTCAAATTTATTCTTTTGRATTCCTTTTGTGTTGTAAAATTTTCAAAAGAATAAATTTGACGTCAAGTGCGGAGAAAACAATACCTCGGGACTTATTAAAAGGGTGTATATACCGTATCTTAGTTAACAATATACTAGCTAAAAAACACTCCTTAGATGTCAAAATTTTCTAGATATTCATCAATGTGGGTTCTAAAATACTCCATCGTCATATTCATACCAAACGTCATCTCCAGGCCATTCTATTATTATGACGTCATTATTATGATCATTTCACAGCTCACCTTCTTCGCAGCATCTTCCAGCAAAACCATCTCTACATAAACAGTAACCGTGAGCATTAGTGCCGCCATTATGACAATTATTTCTGTTGCAAGCCCTTGTTTGCTTCTGACTTGAATGACAAGAATCACTTCTACCACAAACGGTTTTCTCCGCATTTTTTGTCCTGCTTCTAAATTGCGTGCCTGACAGACCGCAGTCGTAAGTACAAGGAGTCCACCATGACCAGATATTGTAAACACAGCAGCTAAATGATTTCTGCATAACCACGACCGAGACCAACAAGGCAAGGGATACTTTTAATGAGTGCATCAGTACTTCCCTACAGACTAACCATGCATATTAATTGTCGTTAGCCCTTGTGTTACCCGAATCTTGTCTGTTTATTGCGAGTGATAAGGGACGGGGGGGGGGGGGGGGGGGGGGGGGGGGGGGGGGGGATGGAGGAAATAATTTGGTTGGAAAATAGGAGGGTCTTGAATGTTTAAAATCATAGTTTAGGGGGGACTTGAGAGTACACGAAATCAATATTTTTTCAAATATAAAAGGCAACCACTCTTGTAGGCGACCACGACCAACTTTGGGATTGAAATTGTAAAATCTGTCGTTGGTTTTCCTCTCCCGTAAGCGACCACCCTCGACACTGATGCAACTAAAGGCGTGTGTTTAATTTACTTAGAGCGGATTTCGTATGAGTGGGAAACGGATGGTACTATAATGTAACCGTAATCGTACTGTAACCAAATTCTAGTGCACATTGGTTCACAAAAATTGTTCAGGCAAGGTCCGGTAACTGTGCGGTAATTTCAGTCTACCGTACATTTCCCACTCATACGAAATTGACTCTATGAAGCTTACACAAATTACATTTCCGTTTTTAATAGAGTACATGTACAAACCGTAAAAGCGTACTATTACTACATGTTACTAGTGAGGAAACTAATGAAAAAGCACGTTTTAAATGTTATATATTACTGGTCTATCATCATTTCTCTCTCTTGTCAGGAGGCGCTTAAGGCCTTCACTCTATTTTTCCACCCAGCTCTGTTTTGGTTTCATCCCAGCTCCTCCACCGGCACCCTACCCTGTTCCGCTCTTTTAGTACTGTACTCCTCCATGTTATCTTTTGTATCCCCTTTGCACTGCTTCCCTTTGGTGGTGTCCACTCCCAAGGCTGTCAAACAGGTTCAACTAGCGAGTCAAACATTTTTAGTTTCGTCTTCCTTCCAATTTCTCTCACTGACCAGACCCTCCCTAAACTACTTTTAAACACACCACGAGCTTTCTGAATACGGTTGCCAATGTCCTTATCTCCACATCCTTGTGTGTCTACTGTATATAAGTATATAAACTCATCACTAGTATCCTCAACCTGGTGATAGTTGTACAAAAGTATTCCCTGAAGAGGTCTACGTTAAGAGACGAAACACGTACGAAATTAAAAACGTTTACAGCTCATATGTTGTGACGAAATATGTGTATTGCGTGACCATCACGTGGACGGTGACGTAGAGAGGGACCGCATGGTATGAAAGTCGAAAATGGAGTAGTGTNCCGAATAGATACAGCGGAAAATATATCATCTACTTAATGCAAATGTGAGATGAACATTTACTGGTATGTCATGATGAAGATACTGAAAGAAGAAAATGAAAGCAGCGAGCATATCTCATGACCTATCACCAAAAAATTGATTAATAAAATGTTACGTCGCAATTTCCAAAGAATTCAGTTTTCAGAATTCAGAATTCGATTTTAGAATATGATTTACCAAGCGTGACTTGTTTTTCAGTTATGCAAATACCTTGTTGTTTTTTGAGTTTTTTTAAATTACTTTTTAACAGCATAAATATTACGCTTACGATCTTCATGTTTTCATAATAGGTGAAATCTTACATTATCCATTAATGATCACCACAGCTATTTTCGGTCGTGAAATCGCCGTCTCGCTTCGACGACCATATTTGAAATAGCTATTTGAATAATTGTTTAAGTGACTATGTATGTCAGTCTCTCTCGCCCAGTTTCCAATCCTTTTTTAATATTATATATTAATGTTATAGATCTAGATGATTGAATAAATTTATATTATTTCAAACAGTGAATTAGTGTTGCCGATACCGGGCATATCGATCCCCAAATCTGGTGCGCTCGGAATATTTGGGATTGAAAGTATCCCATATCAAGTAATAGTAACTTCTTACTTTCCATTTTACTTTATTGCACCATTATTTGCTTATCTATTTATTAATTCATATAAGACTGTTGATTCTGAGATGGTTTCTCCGCATTCTGCTGTTTCCGTTACGTCATGATACATCTTCAAGCAATTTCCGTAGATGTCAAATATACTAGCATCGAGTCGAATAGAAATAACAAAGGATACATTCAAGAAATATATTCATTAACTTACTATCGATATTATTTAGAATCCCATATCACATAATAAACCAGCGTCAGGAGGAGCCGACGGGGTCTGTTCCTCTAAATATCTGTTCTTGTACGAATTTTTTCCTGGGAAAGGGATTTTGAGCTACTGCATTGTTGACAATCTCACAAGCAAATGTGACGCCTTTCCTTCTTTAAAATGATTTTGTTCCTGGCAAACTTTTTTAAGGTCAAAAAAGGCTTATATAAACGTTTTTATGGTAAAGAACGGCTTATATTTTTTTAGTTAGGAATTTTTTATTTTCCTGGCAAAAATTCTTAGAAAGTATTCCTTGCCTGGAGAGTACTTTTTTCCTGAATTTCTTGGTGGCAACCAGTTGTGACTTACAGCTGGCTGGGACATAAGAACAGATATATTTCTCGCAGGAACCCGTTGGCTCCTCCTACAGCGTGCTGATTGGTCCGAGATGACGAAAATGTGACGTACATAGTGAAGGATTCAGCGCGGAATCCAACGCTTTCGAAGCTGAATTCATGAAAAATCAGGGATCCCGCGCGATTGAATTTTGTTTTTGTCGTATTTTCTTTTCATGTTTTGACCAATAACAATTTAAAGTAACAAGAATAGAAGCTATTTTCATAGAGAATCAAAAATAATATGAAGGTCTTGTTACAATATCGCTGTTCTATAAAAACGACCAATACTTGTTGACGGATTGAAAACCTGACTTCAATGAAAAATCAGGGATCCCGCGTTTTATTTTTGCCTTTTGATTTATAATCAAAACGTATTTCACGAAAAAAAAGTTTTGCTCTTTAGTTATCTTACAAATTCCTAGCACTAATACAAATTAACAATTTTGCTTAGTTTGGCTGATAACTTTAGAAAAAAAATGAGAAATTTTCACAGACTTTTTCTTAATTGTTGACTCAGCGCGTTTCGGTTTCGACTATCAACAAGCTGCAAGATCCCATGTTATTGGGTTTTATCATTCAACAAGGCGAGAATSTTTATACCTCATAAAACACGATCTCGAGTGTTTTAAACGGCTTAAAAAACTCCAACATTAATTTGAAACTCAAAT